CGGGTCCCAGTGTTGCTGCCGGCTGGCACAAGCCTGCCACGTGGCAAGATTTGCAGAAGCTGCTGGACGGGTACGCTGGCTGCTCCGATTATGATGTTGGTGATGTACCAAAGCTCACCGTCGACACCACTGCGCCAGTTGAGGTTGGGGAGCTTGTTTCGGCTGTGCTGCAGTTCATCATGTCTCACTCGTTGCCGGCATCAAGATCCGATACCCATGTAGATAGTTGTTGACTGAATGACTTTGTCACCCACCTCTCCACTCTCACTGGGGTATATCTCCCTCCTATTTGGTTATGCAAGTATCTTTGTTTTTGTTTTCGCCAGAGAAAGAGAGATTTCTGCTTGTCCTCCATGTTAGTAGCTTTGTTTATCCAAGTTCCTCTTTGCTTACGTCCTAGATTTCACAGAGATTCTTCATTGCTCATTCAAAATTCTGCTTCCTTGCTTGTTTTATCTTGATGTAGAGATAGATGGGAAGTAACCTCTTATATTCCACTTGCCACTTGATAAAGGGAATTAAGGCAAATATTGAAACGGAATAGTTTCACCATTGACGAATACAACTACTCTCTCCACTAATCCCTGGAGTGAGAATAGACATCACTATTCATCATACCCCATATATATCTACCACTCACCTCACTTGATGAATCAATAGAACCAAAAGCACCTGAACCTTAGCAAAAACCAGTTAGGGGGCGTTCTACAACTTGAATTCTGGTTCCAAAGACAAATCAAAACATCGGGTTTGAAAATAGATCGTTTTATAATGCTGAGGCCCTGTTTGAGAACACTTAAAAGAAATACTTCTTTTAACAAGTACTTCTTTTAAGATATGGGACCACACATTAATAAGTACTTGTTTTTAAAATACTTATTTAAAAAAGTGACTTGAAATTAGTTTTTTTTTCAGTACTTTTTAAAGTATTTCTCCAACAAAATGAGACGAACCAGTCCCTAATATTTTCTTGTAATACCTAAAACACCCCCACTCTCATTCTCTTATTTTCTTTCCCTCTCTCTCCTTGTCTCTATCCTTCCGCCAATGCGACGTCGACGGCCAATGCACCAGTTGGTGGCCTGTGTACCAACGATGTCGACAACCGGTGTACCAACCAACAGTTGGTGTACCAACAATGTCGACGGCCAATGTACCAATGACATCGGCAGCCGGTGTACCTAACTGATACCGGGCCATTGACAACAAAAATAGTGTTGACCATGAAGTGGGGTCCACATGGACTCTCACTTGTGCACATGTGAGCCTACGTGGGCTCTCTATTGTCATGAAGTGGGGTCCACATGGACTTGTACATATATGAGAGAAGTGAGGGCTAAAACTGTCATTTGTATAAATATAAACACTTATGGGAAAAGTAGCTTACCAAACATTCCCACCCCAATAAGTACTTGAAAACATAATAAGTGATTTGAAAAAGTGGGTTACCAAACAGCCTAAAGGGTTGTTAAAACAAGTACTTCTAAGAAGTACTTGTGAATTCTTTTAATAAGTACTTAATCATCAAACAAGACCTGAATCCCCTTAATTTACAAAAGATTTTGTTTTGAAATGCTAGACAAAGGTGACCAAAATTGTACAATTGACACATGTACGCTGGTAGCTATTGATCTCAAATTCCTAATCAATCAAAGGGAATGCTTTTGAAATACCCAAGTTACAAAAGAAAAAAAAAAAAACTCTAGATAACCAAAATACCCCTAAAATCTAGCCTAAAAAGGGGTGAATAGAGCCCTTAGACAAAAATGATTTAAGATTGATGGGGGAAAGTAATTCCACCTAAAAAGCGATTTAGCTTGTTTTCACTTTGTATCTTCTTCCCCTTCTTGGAACTAAGGAAAAAGAGAACAAAGAAGTCTTTGAACATGAAAAAAAAAAGCATGGTGACCTTTCTTTGAAACAAAGAGCATCACAACAAGGAGACTTCTATTCATACTTCCACCACATTCTTATGCCTTTGTCTTTCTCCTCCTCCTCTTCTCTTTCTCTTGCATCATTTTCCTTGTCTTCTCTTTCCATTCGAACTAGCAAAAAGTGATGAACCACCCGATGAATCACCCATTGTGATTCGCTCATCATTTGTTCCAATCTTCAACTTGTAAGAATAAAGAAAACAAAGGAGATCCGAGATACTAGCCCATGGAAGCAAAGTACAACCTAGAACTGCTTAATCTGAATTGGGCTAACTGGGAGGCTCTATGCTCTTCCCTCACTTAGCTACCTTTTTCGTGTGCTTTAGAAAACAAGCTAAGTGCCATTTTATAACGTCTTACTGTGTGCAATAAATGCTAATAGGAACATTGAAGTATAACCATTTGGTTGATTGAGTCAATCCCCTCCGGATTGAGACAAGTGTCTCATATTAACCAAGGATCTAACCACTTGGTCATCCAATCTAGACTAGGTCAAATGGATATCCACTGACCTAGTAAGAGCTGGAACTAGGATCTCGAAAAAACCAATAATATTGTATCTCTATGCATAAAACATTTTCTAGTAAACAATCAAATAAAATTTTGTATAGAAAATAAATAAATAGATAATAATTTTAAAAAAAAAAAGTGAATGATTGTGCGTGAAGGTGTTGCATAGAGATAACCATGAAATAATCATCTTCCATCAACATGTGGCTTGTCACATGGCCACTGGATATTCCAACATGTTGAGGATCAAACGAAGGCCTATGTCCACTCAACCAACATCTCCCACTTGGCCAGTTAGGCCTAAGATGAATAAATGCCAACCAATTCCATTGCTTTGACGTGCCTTACATAATCTATATTTGCTATGGATTTAGTCAATGGGTCAACAATCATTTCTTTTGTAGGCACGTATTCTACCAGGATCTATTCCGTTGGCAGACATAATATAAGTACCGGTATCGGATATCAATATGTTTCACTTCAAGGCATGCCATGGTAACATTTTAACTGAGTATCTTCATAGTTTTCATCAGCATATCAAGAACTTTCACTGCTTTTGAACCCACAAATCTGTAAGTAATGAACTCAGTATGCACCACAAATTTAGGTACATAGCTTTGCTTTCTTTCTCATCCATGAGGCAATTGATCCTCCTAAGAGGAATCAGCACCCAATGGTGAATTTGTTATCATTTGGATCACCAGCAAAAATTAGCATCACATTAATCCAACACTTCCAAGTCATATGGGTTTGAAGTATTTTACCAACTTCAAATAAGCAGGCATTCTTTTAATGGTTCTCTAAAGGGTTCCTTAGGTATTTACTTACAAGACCAACAACGCACTATATATTAGGTCTTATACAATACATTGCATACATCAAGCCAATTATAAATTTAAGCAGATATGCTTTTCATCTTTAATATTGCTTCATTAATGGGAGTCGTATCTTAATCTGATTATCTAGGAGATTCGAGTCTCTACCCCATTGCTTTCTTTGACATAAATTATCTGAGAATATTTCAGGGGTAGTGCTCTTGTGAAGGAGTTAAATTTCTGGCATTCTTATCTATTTTTCAAGCATCTTACATTTTCGAATTGGTTTTCAATGAATCATTCATTTCATTGATTGTGGACATATCACTACTAACAATTAAGATGTGCTCTACACACAAGGGAAGAATAATAAATATACTCCCACTATTCAAAGAATAAGCACAAGGAATTATGAATAACCCCCCCCCCTTTTTTTAAATTGCATCACAAAATGTGTGGTATCAAATCTTGGAGGATTATTTTAAGCCATATATTGTAAATCAAATAAGCTGAGTAATATATGTTTTTTGATGAAAAGAGATAACTCTCATACAAAAGAGAAAATGAAAAGATACAACCAATAGCATCATGAAGTAAGCTTTGTAACTGATGACAGATAATCCTCGTAATCAATGCTTCTATTAGAGTATATCTTCTTGATATACAAAACTTGCTTTATAATTTTCTATGGATCCCTCAATATTCATTTACACCCAAGGTTCAAAGTATCGATACAATACGCCCTGTATCGGGCGTATCATATCGTATCTTTTTCAAAAGATACGATCCGAAACACCTGTTTCCAGGTGTTTCAAACCCCCAATTTTCTTAATAATAAAAAGCATGTTAAAAGCTTTCCAAAAAACCAAAATTTGAAAAAAACTAAAAAAAAGAGTTTCGACCATTTTTAAGTGTTGATACGATACGGCCGAAACTCGTATCGTATCGATACTTTAAACCTAGTTTATACCCTATAGGTTTTTGTTTTGATAAAATTAATTAATTCCCAAACATAAGGTATGCTTATTTAAATGTAATAGTCCATTATTCCTAATGAAAGAAACATTTTTCTTTGAAGAGGTATTGTATTAGACTCAAAAGTGTAAAGGTCAAGTACTATGAGAATTTGTACAAGAACGATCAGAACTATATTTCCAAAAAAAGGTTCACCCTCCTGAATTTTGCTTTCCAGGGATACATCTTTTATTATCCATTAATACAATAGCCCCATCAAATTTGTAATTAATGAATATGTAACCTTTGATGTATTCACTATATGAGTAGCACACAAAGTACATTCAATGCTCATTAGTATACAAAGGTACTTGCTTCTTTGTTGATTTGGTACAGAAATCATTAAACAAGTTGGGCATATATTTTCCACTATTTCTCTTAAGAGATATTTATTATTTTATTTTACATTTATCTAACTAGATTTTTCTTAACCAAGTTCACATGTCCAAGTCTAGAATCCATAGCACATTCCCTTTCCCTATGTGTTTTCACATTCAAATTTCCACATTCATCTGAAAGGATAAATGCTAATGATTTATTTGATATCTTTCTTTTCCTAAAAAAAGAATTAATTTTCACTAAGACATGGTTCATAACATTAATAATGCATTCCTATTTTGTGTATTCAATCATTAGAACTCAATTTTTCCATTTTATCCTCATATACAAGAGTCTCAATATGCATCATCATCTATATGACAAACACGATAAACATCTATTTCATTAGTAGTCAAAAATGTTTGCTCCCTCTATCATTCAACAAAAGTTTACAATATTAGTTTTTTTTATGTGACTATTCAACGATTTAACAAAGAGGCCAATGTATAATTTTCACAAAGACCCAAGAAAGTGAACCATGCACATTATGATTGAATGAAAAACCTTTTATTTTAAGAACCAATGAGGGAGACCCAAAAAAAATGTTGGGTCTCTTGCCTAGTGGCTAAAAATTAATTGATTCAAAGAGTCCAAATATCAGTGCTTTTATGAAAACACAATAGTAAGTAGGTAGAATATCAATTAACTTCTTAGGAAGCAAATGTTCAAATATAGTGGATTATCAATTGGCTTCCCAACAATCAAATGCTCAAACACCTATTGATCAACTTATTTTAAACCATTATTGATCATCACCAAAAAAAAATAACAATATTATGAGGAAAGATTAGTAGTCAAAAACAGACATGTTATCCTCTAGTGCAACAATTCAATAAAAGAGACACAAATCAAATATATATTCTAGTAACGTGCATCAAATATTTTTAGATTCAAAGAATAAGATCAATTGTTGCAACCAATATGATTTAGTCATCAATATAATTTAATTTACTTTGATTTAAATACAGTAAAATCCACTTGAAAACCAGTTAAAGAAATTTGGGAAATAGAAAAACAGGTAGCATTTAAGAGAGTCAAAATGCACAAAACCCAACTTGAATAGTTTCTATTTTTGAGGCTATTAAGTAGGAAATGAACAGGCCACTAAGCCATGCTTAATTTGGTTTTTTGAATTAAATGTTGAAGATATGAGAGAAAATGGAGACAACTCCTAATATATTGAAAGTCTCTAAAACAGCTTCAAAACTTCAAATGTTTTAGGAACAAGTCTCCTATTTGCAACAAAACTCAATGCAGCCCGTGAATTAGGCAAGAATTCCAATTAAAAACCCCAAACTAATTGGTTATACAAAAACTAATTCAAACCAATAATTCTAAATTGCTCATCCATATGCAACAAACATTTCCTGAGAATAGAATAAATAAAAGCAAAGAGAAGCTTAGCTGTTTTCGCCGAAGTGCCTCAAGCAATCCGCTCTCGGAAGTAGCGATAACCCAATTCACCATCATTGACTCATGCACAACATCAGGTCCAAAATAAATCTTGATTGTTTGCAATTTTGGATGCAATAGGATGGTACCTCAAGAAAAAACAATAGCAAATAATTAATTTGAACGAGAAGAGATGGCAATCTTTAATAATTTGAGTAAGTCAAATCAGATTAGGAAAACGATTAGAGTGAATCACATAATAGAAGAAAACATAAATGGCATTAGGGTAAAATGATTTTCTAACACCCGGTTTGTCCCTTAGTTTGATTCTCTGCTTCAATCTTTGGCCTTTTATTAGACTTCTTCTCTGATGAAGTCTGGTGTAGGGTAGCCATAGGAGCTCAATGTTGCAATAAAACAAAACAGATACTATAGACCATCCTTTCCAAGATGAACACATCTGGCTTTGAGTTCCAGTTCATTAGAAGCCAATGCACAGTGAAGCCAACGACAATGTGTTATCGTTTTATGCATATTGTTGCCCTATGCACAATGACGTTCGACTGAAGCCAGCACACAAAAGAAGATGGACAATCGATACTTGGGCGCTCCAAACAAGTCTAGAGGCTTGAACGGCTTTCTGCATCAAATAGCTCTCAACTTTGAGTGGTATTAGACCTCAAAAAAAAAATGTAAATAATTAATTAAGATGGGTAAGCAAAGAGAGCATGAATGATTCAAGAATCCTAAAAAATAAATGGAATCGAACCAAGAAAAAAAATAACAATTTCTAATACCCAGGATTTGGGACCGATTTCCAGGTTTCGATTCTCTAGGAGGAGCAAATCTTATTCTTAGATGCACAGAGGATAAAAAAACCCAAATATACTTACGATTTCTTGATCAACTCAGATCTGCGAATATGAGTTGTGGTTGTATCCTTGACCTAAGTAAATCACCAATACAGGATTTCATTTGTAGTGGTTAAACGACTGTAACTGGATAAAGGTGAATGAAAAACAAACGTCGTGGATAGCCTTTTCGAGAAAACTGTCGAATTAGGTTTAGAGTCGTCGAAGCTTGTTGTTTGTTTAGAGATGAGAAGAAAAAAAACTCGAACAGGTGCTTCGGTGGAGATAGGCTCAAACTGGCTTTTCAAAAGAATGGTTTAGATCAAATCAATTTTTCCAATTACTCAGTGATGAAGAAGAAGAACTGTTGTTGGAGGCTGCACGGATGGGAGAGACGAGAAGAAACCCTGGAAGTGGTTTTGTTTTCTCTCTCCTCTCACTCTGATGCTTCAAAGATGAGGCACGATCTAGTCAATACAATATCCCAGTCGATGACTTGCTCTAATACCAGTGATAAATCACCCATTGCGATTCGCTCATCATCCGTTCCAATCTTCAATCCATAAGAATAAAGAAAACAAAGGAGATTCAAGACACTAGCCCATGAAAGGAAAGTGTAACTTGGAACTGCTTAATCCGAATTGGGCTAGCTAGGAGGCTCTATGTTCTTCCCTCACTTAGCTGCCTTTTTCGTGTGCTTTAGAAACAAGCTAAGTGCCCTTTTATAATGTCCTACTATGTGCAATAAATGCTAATAGGAACATTGAAGTATAACCGTTTGGTTGACTGAGCCAAGTCTCTCGATATTGAGACAAGTGTTTCAAATTAACCAAGGATCTAACCACTTGATCATCCGGTCTAGATTAGGTCAAATGGAGAGTTGGAACTAGGATCTAGAAAAAATTAATAATGTTATATTTTTATGCGTAAAATATTTTTCGATAAACAATCAAATAAAATTTTCTTGTATAAAAAAATAAATAAATTGATAATAATTTAAAGAAAAAAGTGAATAATTGTGTGTAAAGGTGTTGCATAGAGATAACTATGAAATAATCATCTTCCATCAACATGTGGCTTATCATATGGCCATTGAATATTCCAACATGTTGAGGATTAAACGAGAGCCTATCACTACAAGAAATATGACATTTAGCTACGGGCAAAACCATGGCTAAAGATCAAAAAAACTATAGCTATAGACCTATAGCTACGGTTTCTACAGACAGAAAATTGTAGCCTATGTTCACACGGCTATAGCCTACAGCTACGATTCAACTTATCCGTGGCTATAACCCATTTATAACTACAGTATCTGTCCGTAGCTAAAGGGTGAACACACCATATGAACCTTTAGCCACGGGCTGAACCATAGCTAAAAGAACCATATAGCTACAGTTTTTAAATTGTTCATAGTTATATATCCAAGCCTATAACCACAGACTTTTACAAAACCGTAGCTATAATTCTTCTATTCATATACGGTTTGTTACAAAACCATAGCTAAATGAAGTAACTTACAACCACGGTTTTTTTGCTAAAACCGAAGTTAAATACTCTAACCTATAGCTACGGTTTTTCGACAAACCGTGGCTAAAAGATGTAATATATGCCCAAAATTTCTTGGAAAACCATAGCTAATTGTTTCAATCTATGGAAAATTTATGGCTATATTCCAAATAAAATAGTAAAATGATGACAATTAGGACTACCACCTTAAAGCAACACCTATTTTATTCATACATCACATGAGAATTATATAATAACTTCTAGAAAATACTTATGTAATTGTAATGATTCAATACATGCCACACAATTTGAATACATCCTTTGTTCTACCCAAAAAATACACCCATTGTTTAAAATGTATTACAAATGTCAAATTCCCCTTAATACATATTAAAGTTTACATGACTTTCAAAAAAATAGAGAAATTTTAAATATAAAAGAATTATCCATTGTCTTCAACTATGCTTTAAGAGTCACTCGTTGCATCTTTAACCTACAAAGAAATTTTTGTTTAATGCAAGATAAATTTTGAAATTCTAATTAGATGGGCTTGGTGCACTTGTTTGATGATTTTCTTATGAGAAAAGAAAAGAAGTTACATGTAGGTTATGATATTGACTTCAAATTTCTTATATTTCAAAGTTGTGTTTTACTTCATGTTTAGATATTTCTTTACATGGTAAGACATTTTAAGAAGGATGGCATACACAAGAACTTCAGTAAAGTTTAACTTTTACTATTATTATTGTTATGGGTTTCTTCACCGAGTATGATGAATGGTCAAAATGGAAGCATGTAATCAATTCTGCTCTTCTCACTTTCATCAACTGCAACACAACCACAACCCTGGAGGGCAGGGCACTAGGACAAATTCAGGAGATATAGCAAGTTCCAACAAGACAAAATCAACTTGCTGGACCTGAAAGGGAGAATTTGCACAAGGCAACAAATAAATTGCATGTATAATTTATTATCAAATTCAAGAAAGAGAGAATCTAGCCAGTATAATTCAAGAAAGATCTATGAACCACCTAATTCCTGATAGCTTATGACCATTGTTTCATCCAAAAGCTTTTAATGAATACTGAGGTGTGCTGATATTAATTTATGTTTCTATATGGAAGATTGGTTATGCCTTGACCATATTGAGGAAAGATAACCAAAGCAAAGAAGCCAAGGATATATAAGGTATCTGAAGATAGAATAAATCATAGATCCAAGTTGAGGTCCTGCTGAAATGAATGACTGACTTCAAAGGACAAAGGACACCCAAAGTTGACAGGTTAAAGAGTAAAGATGGTTTTTATTAAACATAATAAATTGTTTGCTGATTCCTGGATTGATTGTCACATTCAGTTTAATCCTAGAAATCAAGATCGTCCAATTCATGGTTATCATGAGCTAGACAGTATGGGCTTTTAACTTTTCAACTTGTATGGTGGGCTATGAATTATTTTAGGGCTTGCTAAATGAAAAGACATGGTTTGCTTTGTAGTTTGTTGGTTAAGCAATAAATAAGCCTATTCAATATTATAAGCTCTATTTACTTATAAAAAGATTAACAAATAATGACTTTCAGCCCAATGGTAATGATGACTTCTTCTTAATCTTAATCCAACCCAAATGGAAACATTGGTCTTGGGAGGTTAAATTAGAACAAGAATTGGTCTGATACAAACCGAATCTATCTTATGATAATCTGAACCAATGGGTATGATCATGAATCAGGATTAACCGCATTGTACTATAGAACTTCAATATTTATAGATTCCTGACTTCCTGTTAAATCACAAAAATAACACTCAAGAGACCAGAGGATACATTCTACTCACCATCCAAAGCATATGAAACATGTAGGTGAAGGTTCATCCATCCGGGCAGCCCAACCATACTTGCCATAATTAGTTTCCCTCCTACAAGGATGACATTGTTGCAAAACTTGGTTAAAACTTAAAACTGAGTCCAGAGAAAGATTTTAGGAACAACTCACAATATAATGACGCAGCATCTAGATCACAATTACCTAATTCATGCATTAGCTTGATCCAAGTCCATAGCTTGAATGAGGTTTTCTAAGAAAAAGTTTCTATTTTGGTTAGTTAAACAACAATGACTGGTTTTAATTACTTGAAAATTAAAGATCCAAGCTCATTATAGGAAGTACTACTTCAAGTTATTAACTCAATCGAACCCCAACATAAATCCTCATGTATGTCTAATTTGAATGATTTTTTCTATGCAAGTGCATATCAAAAAGAACAATAGTACATAAGAAATTAATATGCTATTAACCAATCACAAGGAGATCCCTTCAATATCTCTCTCATCCCAATCCCAACGAAGAAGAATTCACCTTAATAATAAACTACTTACACTTTAAAAACTCAAATAGTGAATTTTCACAAATTGCACTTGCTATTAACACCAAACAAGGTTTTGAATCCACCAACCCATGAAGTGGCCCAAAWCACTCTCCTTGGTGTACAAGCCCATTGATTACAATTTATTAGCATAGCCATAGTAATAGCATAGATCCATGGACCCAGACCATTAACCCAGAGATTTTTTTCCTAATCCCAAAAAAGAACATGAGTAGGTTCTGATTCTTTGAGCTGAAATATATTGCCATCATATTATCATGAGTAGAGTGCATAGATTATAGAGAATAGTCCATTTATTTATTATTATATTTATAGACCCCTTGTGCTGATTGCTGCTACCCCAACCCATGGATATAGGCCCCTTATACTCTTTACCTTGATAAGCAAGTGCAAGTGGCTAGAGAAAATGAAATTAATCAAAATGAAGAAGACAAATAAGTGCAAGTAGACAAATGGATATGTGATTCAGAAACCATGTTCTTACCTAAAAGCTTGATGCAAAAAAATCATATCGGAATCTATCTACATTCATGCATATGCTAAGAATATTGTAGACTGTAGACCTGATGCTACATTTTATAGACAATGGATGACACAACTAGGTTTCAAGTTTATTGACTTTGTTTCTACCTAACAAAATATGATTAGGGTTAGGCTCCTAAACAAAATTAGTGTTAAATTAATTCTTAAGGTTGCGAATGAAATTATTATCTAATATATGGAGTAATTGATTTCACACAAGTACTATGAAAAACTCATGGAGTCAAGGTGAACTGACCTAGCTTTTACCTGTTCATAGGATGATCACTTCCATCAAATAAAATTTTTATAAACTGACATCGATTTGATGGACCACTCAACCCATTTTAGTGTCATTTTAAAGCTGAACTTAACCAATTAATATAACTACTCCCTAACTTAAAGGAAGCTTTATCAATGGGAGTTGCAGGTCCCATTTTGCCCAAGCTGGGAGGGATTTGAACTTCATATACTTGGATGTACAAGAAAGATGAGAGGAGAAATGCATTTGATTTAATACTGAAATGGGAGGAATTTGAAGCATTATTGGAACAATGCATTTGATTGAATACTAAAATGGGAGGATAAAGTTTGCACTCCAGTTTAGTTAATCATGGAGATACTTGTATTCCAAGACAATGTCTATAAAATCCTATCTATTATAAAAACCACTGAAATTAGTTCATAATAACAAGAATCGTCATAGAAGATGTTATCAACAAGTTGCTATATATGAACATAAATCAAGTGTCTGTAATCTAAAAATGCTTTAACTATGCACACACTGAAACTCAAAAAATTTTCTCAAACCATTTCAGTCTCCAACCTTGATTTATATATATATAGAGAGAGAGAGAGTAGAGTAAAAGTATAAGGGAAACAGACACTAGTTATGCATAGTTTATTTTTCCTTTTTTTTTCAATTGAGTTGTATGAGCATCGGCTTCTGTGAATGCATGATATTGTACGATTTGTTTCCTTGGTTAATTATTGATCAATAGGAAGCTTAATATGAGAAGAAATTATTAAACTTTCAATTGAACTAAAACAGGGATGAATAAGGAAAAGTTCCTGAACAAAATGATTGAAAAGGAGTGTGTTGTTAAACTACTAAACATGAAGAGAAACCTCCGATTGCTCTACTAATGTTTATGTTTTGAGCGGGACCTCTCTAGACAATAAGGTGCTCTGTTAATGTTTATATTGTAGTAGGCTGCCCAGTAACATGTTTAAGGTCCATGAGCCTTCTACCATAGTGAAACCAGTGGTTGGGGAACGTTGGATGAACCTTCTACCAATTTTGTATCACAATCTAGAATAAGAGTTACGAACGAACACAATAAAAGAGATATTACAATCACATTTAACTGCAGGAAGCTCTAATCTCAGGGGAAAAGCAATAAAGAGGGGAAAAACATTGCCGAAAACATACCTAGACTTAAATTAAACACACGTACCTAGACTTTGATTAGATCTACCAGTGCATTTGAGAGGGAGCAAAAAATATAATAGAAAACATAACAAGGAAAGAAAACCAACATAACAGAAAATACCTTCTCTCTCTAACCTTCTTCTTTGTCCTATCTGTCTATCTCTGTTCTCTCCCTTTCTCTTCTTTGTTCAATCTTATTATTTTTGGACTTGAACGCAGCGGTAGCGGAACCTACTCAGCCCTCTCTCTATAATCTCCTTCTTCTTCGTTCTCTTTGTCTCTCTACCTCTATTCTCTCCCTTTCTCTTCTTTCTTCGGCTAATATAATTCTAGGGTTTTCCTTTCTAAACTTGAACGCAGCAGTAACGGCACCTCCTTTATCACCCTCCTTTGCTCTCTTTCTCGATCTATCCCTTTTTCTTCTTTGGTTGCGCGCGCGCGGGCAAAGTAATTTTTAGGGTTTTCTTTTTTTATTTGAATTAAGGGACTGTATGGTCAGGTTTCAGGTGTGGATCCGAGTAGGCGGGTAGGATCGGGCATCCAGATTTAGCCATTTTTTGGTATCTTTCTACACTTTCTAAAATTATTTGGTATTTTTCTGCATTTTCTATTATTTTCTGTAATTGTTTGGTATTTTTTGCAGTTTTTACAATTTTTTGTGCTTTTCTGCATAATTTTTGCATCTTTCTGGTGTTTTCCGTGCATTTCTTGCATTCTTTTGAATTTTTTTGCATATTTTCTATTTTTTCTACAAAAGTTGTGAATTTTCTGTAATTTTTCTTCAATTTTCGTAATTTTTTGGTATTTCTTGACTTTTCTGCAATTTGGTATTTGTTTGTATTTTCTGCAATTTTCTACTATTTTTTGCATTTATCTACAATTTTTTCATTTTCGGGTATATGAATTGACTTTACTCGTTTTTGTCACATTGTAGTCTTGAGAGAGATGATTCTTTCAAAAATATTTTTTTCCCGACTAACTTTAATTAAAGCATGGATAAATTTAACCTCCATTTCGATATTCAAACCAACTTTAATTAAAACTGAGAGTACAATTAATAGTTGAATACAAATACGTAAGATTAATGAATAAATTGATAAAAATATTAATTACATTTGTAAAATAAATATAAAAAGTATCACATAATAAAATTTATTTATATAATTATTTTCAATTTAATTATAACTTAACTTTATAATTAATTAATTTTAAAGTTAATTGATAAAAAGTTAAATAATAATAACATTTCTATACTTACTTTCAAATCAACTATAAGTTAATTAGTTTTAAAACTAATTGATAAAAATGTAAACTTTAAAACTAGTAAAAAAAAAAAAGAAATTTTGGCAACGTTTTTCTCCCCTTTTAACGACGTTTGTGTCTAAAAGAAGAGGAGGAGAGAAACTCGGTTGCATATATGTCTTGTCCTTTGATAAAAGAAGAAGAAGAGACCCATACTTATTCTTTGTTCAATTGTTTGATTGGAAGGGTGATCTCAATAGTAGATAGGGAATGAGAGGGAAAAGGAGGTTTTCGGTGCACATGAGAGAAGTTGAATAGAGAGGGAAAGGGTTTCTTGTGCACGGGAGAGAGTTCGCATCAATTATTTTAGCGGTCTTTCAAATTTTTTACTTCCATTCAATCTCAGCCGTTTAATTGAATTCAATCTCAACCATTTATAAAGAAAAAATAAATTTATTTAATATAATTGCACTAAGCCGCTAATGTTTTAGTCATTTAATTATATTAATGTCTTATTAGTTGCTTAATCATTTATCATGGTTATTATATTATTTCACCAATAACTAATAGTTTTTGTTAATTATTTAATTATTTGATCATTCTATCATTTACTTATTTAACAATTTCATTGAATATTTTATTAATTATGTAATTATATTTTAAAAATTTTAATTATTTAATGATTTTTACTAGTTATTTAATAAAACAAAAATTAACTACAAATTTCTAATAGTTTTCATTCAGTTGGTTTGATTCAATTTGGTTAGAACTAAGAACCTAACATTTAAAAAAAAAAACACTAAGAACCTAACTAGCATTTCAACTTATCGATTCTTATGAACCACATTGAACCAAACTAGATGTCATAACCAAACTGAATTTAATATAATTTGGTTTAATTTTTTGTTCGGTTTGGACCCACTTATATTAGTATTCATAAACTCGTGAATAATATATTATTATTAATACGTATAATAATATATATCACTATTTATAAACTTATATATATATATATATATATATATGCTTCAATGGGCTACACAACAGGAGGTACCATATCCCCCAACCCTAGTGGCAATAGAATTTGATCCTAGGTCTTTGCTACAACGACTAGAGATCCTACCAACTAAGCCACCATCAAACCAAGAATCAAATAAATTAGACTAAATTTTCTTATTTAGTTTGGTTTGATTTGGTTTTCATTTCGGTAACCAAATTTGAGTACCCCTAGCTTTCATTGCTTGTGGCATGACATTTGCTTTTTGAGATGAAAAGTGCAACACCAAATATGCCATGACCCATGCCTTTGGTTGTAGTGTGTTTGTTGTCTCTATGTCATTAGTGAATAAAGGTGAATGGGAATGGTTGGTCATTGTGTTATAGACTAAACTTGGATTTTGGTCACTATGACCTAAATAAGATAATGTTGCAACACAAAAAGGCTTCACTAAGAGGGGAGAATAGAAGAAATCTTACTATTGGGTCGGATTTGAATCAATTCAGGACTAGGTGGAACCAGTTCCAAACCGATAATAATCGAGACAATATATCTAGAACCAGAGTTAACTCATCAGTTTTGATTCCTACAACCATAACCAACCTAATCAGTTCATGAATATTGGGTTTGTCGAGTTAAACCTGACCCATCGAATGCCCTATTTCTATGTAATATAAAATAACATATATATTATCTATAATATACATATAGTTAAATATATGTGGGTCAAGTTAGGCCCAAGGCGGGTTTAAAGTATTAAGCCCAACCCTAAATTTTGGGGCTCTAATGAGGGTCCGAGCATCGACCAGGGCTTAAACACAAAATTTAGGTCCAAGAGTGAACTTTTCCAACTCACTAAAATGATCACCCTTGTTTTATGGCAAAAATAACAGGGTAAGGGGCATTCAGTACTTTAAAACACATAAGTAGCAAAAAATTTACCCAAGACCAATTCATTAGTTCTTGGGTTAGACCAGTTTGGTGGATAGTTTTGGCATTTTTTTGGAGTAAATAGGGTTAGGTGTATGATTGAATTGGTTAAAGGTTGGGTCATGGATTAACAATAATCTGATTAGCTGGTCTCGCCCGACTTTCTAAACATTGGTTAGTGTTATATGTTTTCTTATATATAGAATAAATAATGTTGTTTTGAAATATATAGAATATATATAGATATATACTGATTTATTTATATTTTATTTTAGTTTTTCATCTTTAACAAATAAAAAAAGTTAAAAATTACACTTTGAGGCAAAAAAATTGGTAAAGTGGTTGAAATAATTTATTAGTTATTTATGAATTTAAATAATTTATTTTAATTATCAATATTATTTTCATTCATGGTAATTAATTTACTATTAGCGGTTTTCATATTTAGTTTATTATTTTCTATTAATTATTAATTTACTTAAATAATTAAATTAATTTTTGATGATTAGTTTTAATTAGTCAAATAATAATTAATACTTATTTATTTCTATTTTAGAAATTATTTTCTTTTTATTAATGTACTTATGAAATTATTAATAACCTATTTTCTAGTTTAATTAAATATTTTAAATGAATATTATATGATTATTATTTATGAGCTAGGAATAAAATGATTGTAACTAAAGAAGATTAACTTCGTAATTATAGCCACGGAATTTTAATTATCCGTGGCTATAGTGATAACTAGCTTTTTAGCCACGGACAGAATAACTTTTAACCACGGACAAATTGTCAATAGCTAAAGCTCAACTTCTGTTTTTGTAACTTATAACCACAAATACATTATAACTGTGGTTATAAATATCTTTTAGCCACGGACAGAACAATTTTTAACCGCCAATAAATTGCCCATGGCTAAAGCTCATTCTGCTTTTGTAACTTTTAATCATAGATACATTATAACCATGGCTATAAATATCCTTTAGCCACGAACAGAATAACTTTTAACTACTGTCCGTAGCCAAAGCTCAACTTTTAACTACAAACAAATTATCCGTAGCTAAAGCTCAACTTCTGCTTTTGTAATTTATAACCACGGTATATTACAACCGTGGCTATAAATATCTTTTAGCCACGGATAGAATAACTTTTAACCACGGGAAAATTGTCCGTAGCTAAAGCTTAACTTTTTGCCACGGACATAAAATTGTCTGTGGTTATATCCCATGTTTTAGCTACAGTTTTTTCTGACCGTAGCTAAAGTTCCGTAGCTATATCCCCGTTTTCCCGTAGTGTATGGCCATTCAACCAACAAAAAAGGGGCCTTGACTGACTTAATCTAAGGAGAAGCCACCCACTTGAACACCTAGCTAGACAATGCCCAGTCTAAATCCTCTTCCCCTTCCTTTTATTCTTCCTATTAGAGCTCATTCAGTATTGTTAGGGCTCATTAGGTGGCTTGAGATGAATCTATGGGACCCAATAGGTGATTGGGACTTTGCTGTGGGTAGAGTCCTAGATTGACCCTAAGACTCTTATTGAGAGGAGTGCATAAGTTGGTTAAAGGGCAGCAGCTGGTTTTGCAAGTCAAAGGTTGATGGAGGATTTAGTTTTAATCCTTTGTTGAGATTGAAGATCCCTCTCTAAGTGGTTGTAAATCTCTGTAAATAGACCACACACACAGCTTTTCAAAAAAAAAAAAAAAAAAGACAAAACAGTTAATTGGAGAACTGACAAAAGTAAGATAATTGAAAATAAACTACACATATAACAGTCAGTCTAGTGCATTTCATTTCACTGTCATGGGAGTGAAAAATGAATTGTCCCTCTGAATGCGAATGCTTGTAGTAATCTAATTAATAACAAAATCAAAATTAAAAGAAAAACATAAAAGCAGCAATCCACACACGTTCATCCAACTGGATATATATGGTGTTTGAGATTTGAGCAATGGTGGCAGCAGCTATGCATTCTTTTCTTAGAAATATCCTTTCCTACGCTTGGTGAATCTGTTTAGCCCATAGGAGGAGAACAACATGTCTTTGAAGACAGGAAATTGGCTTAATGCAGCGAATGCCAGAACTGGGATAATAGCTAGAAGGGCGGGTGGGAGCATAACCTTCACAATCCCATTACGAAAAACCATGAAAATGGTAGTGATGAAGGTGGCTATCATGGCTGACACAGAGATGTAGAGAAATAAAAGACCCATGCTTAACATGCGAGGCAAGTGATGTAGGAAGTCGTCTCCTGTTTGGTGTGAGATATAGACGGATAGGAAAGACAACAAAGAAGCAGAAGCAAAGAACAGTGAGATCATAGTTGCTATAACAACATTGTAGAAATGGTTGTGATTAGTAAACTTGATGTGGATTTCGCCTGTATCAGCTTTTCCGGTGCCGGAGAGGGATGGTAGAGATAATGCTGTTGAAAGCATCACCGAGGCAACAAGTGCGGCCACAACCATACCCGAGTTGGCCGTGTCCTTGAGCCACTGCTTTGCATCATTCCATAACTCTTTATGCTCCTCCATGAATAGCATTGCAGGCGTCTGACCCTTGTTGTTTACAGAGTCTTGAAGGGTGGGTGGGACTGTATTTCCTATTAACTGCAGCAGAAGTAGTAGTTGATTATGTCCATTAATAATAAATTATTATTAGTTAGAGAAATAATTATTATATTTTATTTTACTCTTTCTAAATAGAAGAAATAGAAGAGAAAAATCAGCGTTCGTTTAATTTACGGTTAGAATCAGAATCGGAATCGGAATCAAAATCTTTTTTAATCGAAATCAGAATCGGAATCGGAATCAGAATGCCATTCCAACAGGAATGAAAATGTAATTCCGATTCTACTGCCCAACCAAACAGTTAAAATTACCTTGAACCACCGTAACTCGTTCTGCAACTCCTTGGCTGGACTATGTTTTTGATTGAGTCGATCAATGGGCGCCCGTTTTGCAGTTATATGCAATATGTTTTCCTTTTCTGAACTACGATATCTGACCATTTTTTGTCTTGGGAGATCCATTGAATCAATAAGGTTGAAAATCTTCTTTCGGCGGTGAATAATCGCTTGATGGATTATGCCCAAGTCATTATCGTCAAATAAATATGCAAACTGAGGACAATATCTGAGCATCTCCGTAACAAATACAACATTCCCAATTCGAATGGCGGAGAAAATGGTTGAAGTCATCAGTGCTTTGCTCTGGGCATCATTGATGTCTATTACTGAAATTTCCACACAAATTTTGTCCAGTAACCGAAGAGCATTGGGATATTGCAAATCTTCTGGGTTTATTTTCTTCAGACATGTGGTTGGTGCTGCAGAGAAGAGCAACAGAAATATATAATTAATAATTGACAAATGGTATGGGAAAAATTTAGAGATATTTTAAAAATTAATATTAAATTTAGAGATATTTTACTAGTATTCTATTGAATTATATATCCACATCAAATTAATATTTATATGTCAATAAAGTATGTTTGAATTTCATATATTTACTATAAAGAGTTGTAATTTGAAATATAATAGAAGTTATTTTGAAGTCATTTTATTTATGATATATATAGTATTAAGTTTTTAGTTTGTTTTGTTAACAATATATAATAATCAGATTATTTTTATTTATGATATATAATATTGTTAACAATTTCCATATCCAATCCAAGTTTGATTTAAATTCAACTCCAAGTGAGTTGGAGTAGGGTAAGCCAATGTGCAAGTGCCTCAGACTCGGTTCGCAAAATACTCAAACTCGGCTCCAAGGTTATCGAGTTTAGTTGAGTTTGACTCGAGTTGAGTAGTTAGCTAAGCCGAGCTAGAGATTTATAATACTCGGTTCGAGTCCATTGCAGTCCTAATCGAGCTTTTAATAAAACAGTATTTTTCAATATATTTTTTACAATATAAATAAATATTCGTTTTTGATATTAATTTATTTATAACATAAATAAATAAAATTGTATTCAAGTTCATAAAATATTTCATAATATTGATTTATTTATAAATTTTAATGCATAATCATGTTTTCTAATATATTTTTATTTATAATGTTTTAAATATTAATTTATTTATAATTTCAATAGGAGTTTATTTATAATTGGCTAGAGCCAAGTCGAATTTTGAGCTCAAGCATCCCAAGACTCGGCTTGGCTCAGCTCGGTTACACTCCTAGTCTTCACGACCTTTGAACCAATTTTCTATTTGAGTTAAGAAATTAACAGAGGTTGTGTTTGGATAAGCTCACAAAACCCAAAATTTAGGCTTTGTGATTTGGGGTTTAAAAGTATTTCGCCTTCGGAATATAATGTTTTTAAAAGAAATTCTTACCAAATTTTGAAAATGCTTTTTGGTTTCATTTTGTCTTCTCACAGCCCAAATTTCAAAAGCAAAAGCTTGTGCAAATAGAGCCTAGGATCTGATTTGTAATTAAATGGGTACGACACGGTTTTATCTTATTTTGATTTCAAATTTTGGCCCTTGACCACCTTTTTGAGGGAGAGCCCTCTTGTTGAGGGATGGCTTTTGTTTCTCCTTGACCACAGGGTTTGAAGGAGAACCCTGATGTTTCTACTAAAATCTGACCCACCAAGTTAACCATTATGATACCAGTCAAAATAGAATAAGGACAACTTTTCGCTCCTAATATCAATAACAATAATAAGAGTTTTAATATAATAATTAAAGCATGATAACTTTTTTGAAAAAAAATATCAAATAACCGCACCGCAATACATTCCTCTCTTCAAACAGGTAGATCTTCAAAGGTAGATTTGTGCGGTGGCGACATTCAAACGGAAGATCTAAGCATCAGAGAGAGAGAGGGTGGTGGTGGTGGTATGGCGACAAGATCTGAGTGAGATAGAGGGCGGTGTAGCAGCGGTGCAGTGGCCGGAAGATCTGACGAGAGAGGTAGGGAGAGAGAAATTTGGTGCACAGAGATAGTCGGTGTGGTGTAGTGGGTGGAAGATCTGCACAGAGTGCCACTGTTTGGTGATCCAGGAGGAGGAAGAGGTGAATGGTGCATCTCCTACTTCTTTTTTTCAAAAAAGAGTTATCCTGTTTTGGAAATTATATTAAAAGAGTTATTTTATTGATATTAGGGACAAAACATCCGGTAGAATCCCTCTTATTTTCCAAGGAAAGGAAAGAAAAAAAAGCTTTTGCCATAGATAAAAGACGGGAAGAAAAAGGGCACACACCTTCCATTTCCTCACAGGCTTGATTTAAATTTTCTTCATCTTGATTTCTGCCCCGACCGTTACAAAAGAACTTCAGATTTAAACCTTCAAAACGGACCAAAAAAATAAATATTGTACTTCAATCTTGCTAGACATTTTTAAAGGAAATAATTTTTATACACAGACGAGAGAGAGAGAGCCACATGAATAGATGCGTCGTTGAAAAAACCAACTGGATCTTCGGAATGCAGAAGTATTTCGAGCGAGTGAATGCACGGCTGTTTTCCCATGGATGTCTTCGGTCAAGACTAAATTTGGAAATCGATTGAATATATCTAAAGCCTCATCTGCATGTTAGAAATAAAATGAATACAAAGAGTAAGACCTGAGAGAGAGAGAGAGAGATTCATTAATATAACCCTAACTAATTTAGGTTGAGTTGGGACCAATCCAGTAGGCTGAGTTCAAGTTAGGGCTATATGGTAACATCTGAAGTCACTGAATTGAATGATTCAGTGCTTTATTTTCAGTCGATAAGATTACTAAAAAATAAAATATTGGAGTACAGTAATCATCCTAGGATTCAATCCAGGCATGGAATTCGAAACTCCTATCCATACTTATCCACATGACACTATAGTTGTACATTCGGAACATCTCCTATGAATGATAATATGTAAGTGCAGAAAATATTTAGGGGTAATAGCATATAAGGGCAATTTTTAGGGTTTAATATCAATAAAAGTAATACATTTAAAAAAAATTTCAAACATAGGTTAACTTTTTAAAAATAATATTAATAAAGGGCAAAAACATTGTTCATATTCTTCTTCTTGCCATTTGTTCACTAGAGCTGCCGCCCACCACCACCCACCACTGCTATCCACTGTTGCTCATTGCTGCCTCTACCTACCTCTACCTTCTCCTCCGGTAATGTTGCTGGAGGTGGCCAGAGGTAGAGGTGGTAGCGGCGACAATGGTGGTCATTTCTCTGTCCAATGCCACCACCTCCGCTCATCTCCGCCTCCACCTCCGACAATGTTGCCAGAGGTGGGTGGAGACAGAGGTGGCGGCGGCGGCGAGGGGCAGAGGAATGATCACCAGTGCCGTCGTCGCCAACTCTGCCTTGCCGGAGGTGGAGGTGGAGGCAGCGGTGGGTGGCTGTAAACGGTGGTGGCAGGCAGCGGCTCTGGTGAACAAATGGCAAAAAGAAGAAGATGAACAGTGTTTTTGTCCTTTATTGATATTATTTTTAAAAAGTTAACCTATTTTTAAATTTTATTAAATATATTACTTTTATTGATATTAAACCCCAAAAGTTGCCCTTATATGCTCTTATAAATGTAGTGAGGCATGGGTAGGGGGTCCAACTCATGAGCGTGCTATACAATACACTACTCCAATGAATCCTTGATGCTAAAGCACAAAGCATTCAGTTCAACTACATTCCCTTTACAATGACAATGGGTTTTTAAAACTAAGGGGTTGTTTGATAATAGCTGAAGTGGCTAAACTGATCAGAAAGCGTAGCCCATTTATGATATAATATATAGATTCCTCTGTTTGTCACTATTCCCAACTATACAATCCAATAAACAATAAACAATAAACAATACAATCAATAAAAACCTCAATTTATTGTACGTACCGAAAAAATTGACGTTGATCAATGAAGTAAGAAGCGTAGCCCGGTTTTGGTCGATCTCTGCACTCACACATTCATAATCTTTTGGTTTTGCTAACCCTTTGAACTTATCTTCCTCCTTAAGTGTAATGGGGCATAAATAAGCCACCAAATCCTTGTGACGGCACTTGGCTGCCAAGGCAACGGCCGTCATGTTTTCGAACTTCATCAGCACCAGAGCCTCCACTTTATTCACAAGGACCTTTGCAATTTGTAGTTGTTCTTGTATGACAGCAAAATGGAGGGCTGTTGCTTCGTTGAGTGCCCGTTTCTTTACACTTTCTTCATCCATCCTGAGCAACAGCTCCTTTACAATACTTTCTTTTCCAAACTTAGCTGCAATGTGAAGAGGGGTTTCTCCATTCACTGTGATTCTAGCGGTCAGGGTTCCTCTATTCTTGTTTACAAATTCTTCCACTTTACTCCATTCACCTGTTGCGATTGCATTGAAGAAGGGCAAACACCATGTATAACAAGTGCTCACTTTCCCTGCTAAAGCAATTTATGTTAGAATAGTTTGTTTGGTCAATAGTACATAATGGTCAGGTGATGTAACTTAAATACCTACTAGCTACCATGGCACAAACTGGCCAGTCCGGATCTGGTAGGCGCAACATTGTAAGTATGTTTAATGAGTATTTAGAAATTTTTTTGACATTTGTCCCTTAATTCAAATACCTCAGCCTAAAGATTAAACCCACTTTTGGCAGTTGTCAGAATATTTATGAAGTACTCATTGAACGTGCTTAAGTACCATATTGTGCCGATTAGATCCGGTCTCCCAACTGGCTAGGTGTTCAGATCTTTTACCCGGTGGGTGGCTGTGGTGTCATGTGGATATGTAGGAGATTTGGAGTTGCTGGCTTGTATACAAATTTGGTTGGGGCAAATTTGAAGTTGGGTATAGAAATTGATGAATTTTGCAGTATTCTATGATATTTCAAAAAATAAACAAAAAAATTTGAAATTGGGGCAAAAAGACTAATATGGGCAGATGCGTGTCGAGATAAATACCTTTCCATCTTGGGCCGAAGTCATCCATTTTCCCATACATTACAGCTAATTGGTCCCAAATAACCTTAGCTGGGGACAGTGATTTAATGTATGGATGGATCTTGCGATCACAGGTCTCTTCGATTTTCATCAAAACTTTTAAATCTTGTTCTACCCAACCATATTCTGCCTCTTCTGGTTGAGGTTCGCTGATGTGATGCCAGAGTCCCTTTTCAGACAGATACTCTTCCATATTTTTCTTCCAACTCTTATAATTGTCTCCAGTTAGCATAGGAACATCTTCTGTCGAAATCATGTAAAGAGAAAAATATGAATAAATAAAAATAAGTAAGGGGGTCATGAATATTCCAGATCTCATCATAACAATTCTACCCACACATATTCACATGACATCGCAGTCACACATGAAGAATATATCATCCTCTTACATTAGAATATCTGTATTATATAATGCCAATACTTGTGTTGATAGTGGTCTCATAAAAGTTAAATAATATAATACATTATATATAATTAATATTTGTACATGTACATATCATATATTCTTACATTGTTTAATATTTAATTTCAATTGATAGTGGTTCAATTCAAAAAGTTCTCTCGGGTTGGGCTTAGCACTAAGTTACAAATAATACATGCTCCATAGCTACACAAGTTCCAGCAACCCAAGCTCGATCAGGGCTTTGCCACTTTTATCCTTATGATGAGATGGTGAAATTGAAAGATAAACTTTTTATTTTTGAAAGAACAATGTACCTTGACTATGAAAGCCTTGACAAATTTTGAATTGAAAACTATTTATTTTTCGGTAATTGTTTTAAAAAAAATGTTTGATTACAGTTTTTTGTCATCGAACATGGGACTAGGTGATGTTTCAATTTGAGCCTATGGTTTTTGTGCGATTCATATTGACCAATATTAAATTTTTTGGCTTGGTCATGGCCTTACCTATTTCCACCCTTTGTCCCATACATAAGCCACATTTAATATTGTACATATTAGTTTTTGGACAAAACAACATGTGGCACACTAAGAAACATGGGGTTGACAATTCTACAATATTCCTAAGTATTGGTCAATATGCATTAGCATTAATAATGTATTGATATTGTATTGGTTCTGTATAGTACATGATACAGATTTGTAATAAATGAATTTGTTTGAGGCCCTACAATAAGTGTATAAACTCCTTAATTCCTTATTAAATCTAATAACTCTCAAACTCTCAATTATCACTTCCTCTTGTTAAGGATGTTATAAAGTACTCCCAAATCTATACTATTAAAAGTTTGAATGATAGTGTGGAACTTTTGCTTGACTAAAATACCTTTTTTTTTTTTTTGAATTTGACCCTTTATAATTATAAAGACATAAATGTAATTTGAACAATCACTTTTCTCATTTAAATATTATATTTAAGGTATTAATTCCCATTAGCATTCACTAAACCATAATATTGACTAGAATATCTCTATTTCTAAATTTGATCATTCTCTAATTTTGAGAGCACAAAATGTAATTTTAGTTATTACATTTCTCCTCATTTAATTCTCTCATTAAGTCTTATATTTAGGGCATTAACACCCATGACTATAAAAATACAAAAAAATAAAAAATTGCAGAAAACATTTGGGTACATCTCTAATATCATATATTCAACATATTACACAAACAAATAAAAATAATTTTTATAAACATAAAAATATAAAAAAATTATAGAAAAGTTTGGAAACATATTATTTACTACCATTATCAACACCATAAAAATTGCAATGTGTAAAGCATGTGCATACTAGTTCAAATAAGTCCCTCAATCAGTTCCCACTTCTCATTAAGTGACAATGCTTCAACTAAGTATACTAATTTAATTTTGAATCTCATCTAAAAATTTAGGTGTCATGTGCAATTGCAAGTTTTTAAACTCTAGCCTGCTGGCCATAAGAAAGACTAAACCCCTTAACGTCAAGATACACCACAAAAGTTGGAAGTGAAAAAAAAAGGTTATACCACAAAAGCTACTAGATAAAGTAACATGCATTTTGTTTTGTTTTGTTTTTTTTTAAATGAAGTTACAGACAATTTAAAATTTTGACTTTTCCAATTCATGTTTATAAAACCAAAACATTAAAGAATAATGAAAATAAAGTATATGGATGTACTCTAATCTTTTTAAGTTTTCAAATTTTCTAAGTACTTCAAAATAGATTATAATTTACACAAAACTTAAAAAGATTAGAGTACATCCATATACTTTATTTAAATATTAAAATTAATATACACATGGATGTACTATNAATATTCCTAAGTATTGGTCAATATGCATTAGCATTAATAATGTATTGATATTGTATTGGTTCTGTATAGTACATGATACAGATTTGTAATAAATGAATTTGTTTGAGGCCCTACAATAAGTGTATAAACTCCTTAATTCCTTATTAAATCTAATAACTCTCAAACTCTCAATTATCACTTCCTCTTGTTAAGGATGTTATAAAGTACTCCCAAATCTATACTATTAAAAGTTTGAATGATAGTGTGGAACTTTTGCTTGACTAAAATACCTTTTTTTTTTTTTTGAATTTGACCCTTTATAATTATAAAGACATAAATGTAATTTGAACAATCACTTTTCTCATTTAAATATTATATTTAAGGTATTAATTCCCATTAGCATTCACTAAACCATAATATTGACTAGAATATCTCTATTTCTAAATTTGATCATTCTCTAATTTTGAGAGCACAAAATGTAATTTTAGTTATTACATTTCTCCTCATTTAATTCTCTCATTAAGTCTTATATTTAGGGCATTAACACCCATGACTATAAAAATACAAAAAAATAAAAAATTGCAGAAAACATTTGGGTACATCTCTAATATCATATATTCAACATATTACACAAACAAATAAAAATAATTTTTATAAACATAAAAATATAAAAAAATTATAGAAAAGTTTGGAAACATATTATTTACTACCATTATCAACACCATAAAAATTGCAATGTGTAAAGCATGTGCATACTAGTTCAAATAAGTCCCTCAATCAGTTCCCACTTCTCATTAAGTGACAATGCTTCAACTAAGTATACTAATTTAATTTTGAATCTCATCTAAAAATTTAGGTGTCATGTGCAATTGCAAGTTTTTAAACTCTAGCCTGCTGGCCATAAGAAAGACTAAACCCCTTAACGTCAAGATACACCACAAAAGTTGGAAGTGAAAAAAAAAGGTTATACCACAAAAGCTACTAGATAAAGTAACATGCATTTTGTTTTGTTTTGTTTTTTTTTAAATGAAGTTACAGACAATTTAAAATTTTGACTTTTCCAATTCATGTTTATAAAACCAAAACATTAAAGAATAATGAAAATAAAGTATATGGATGTACTCTAATCTTTTTAAGTTTTCAAATTTTCTAAGTACTTCAAAATAGATTATAATTTACACAAAACTTAAAAAGATTAGAGTACATCCATATACTTTATTTAAATATTAAAATTAATATACACATGGATGTACTATGTAAATTCAAATAAATATAGTATAAGTGTCAAGTGACTATCAAGATGGTATAAGCAATTAAGCATAGATTATGCATTTCTTCTATGCTTAATTGCTTATACCATCTTGATAGTCACTTGACACTTATACTATATTTATTTGAATTTACATAGTACATCCATGTGTATATTAATTTTAACATTTATCTGGACATATATCTAAAATGCATTTTATCACTTCTCTTAATGTTTTCTTTCTGATACACTACATTTTTGACACTTTCAACTTTGAGCCTTAGTTTTATAGCATTTTTTAACCTTTTTTGGAGGGACAATATTTAGAGTACAAAATTCGAAGTTAATAATAAATTTACATTCCTATTATCAAATATTGAGTTTGAAGTTCAAATTAGACATTAAACTGACATAATTACATATAGATAAATATAGAGTGAAATTACTCATTAAAATATAGATAAAAGCATGAGAGCTATATTAATAAGGGAGTATGTATCTTCTTAAAACTATTGAAGTCTAAATAGAAAACAACCATGTTTGACCCTAAATGAGTCTCAAGGATAGCCTACCCATATCCTTTACAATTGGAAGTCTGAGAATATTTTCAATAACCAAAATTCTTTATTTATAATTTGGGCTCAATGTAATTAAGTAAAGATTTAATCTTGAAGGTTGTTTTTGGTTATATTTCTAATAAAATGTATGCAATGAAGTAGAGTATAATGAACAATCCATCAAAAGAAAGAGTCATTACATCTTTCTACAATTATTAGAAACTAAAAAAAAATTGATAAGCATTTACCAAGTGAATGTTCATTCACATCCATTGTTGGATCCATAGAAGGTGATAAAGGACAAGCAGAGATGTACTTGTTCACAGCAGCTGAACACAAAACACTTAAAACCATCAATACATAAGAGTTAATGAAATCAATGAAAAATGTAGAAGCTAGCTGCTAGAAGTCATAATGGCCAAGTGAACAAAAATGTTTTCTTTGCTTTGACCAACTAAGAAGTGATTATATGCAAAGGGTAAAAAAAATCCCCATTACATGAAAATGAAATTATCCATTATAAATAAAAAATATATACTCATGATTAAAATATGTGTCTTTTGTTTTCTCTTGTGCTTTGTTTAATTTGTGTAAGAAAGTTTTTTTTTTCTTAGAAAAGAAATTATGAAAGAATTTTTTTTCAAGAGCATTTGAAATGGAATGATATTATGTAGATTTTTTGTATTCTACATGGCATGATGGTCTAAAGGGAGGTACAATATCAAGGTTTTCTTAGAGGCAATAACATTTGTGAACAAATTTTTCTACATAGGGTTAAGGGAAGAAATTGTATTATTTGGAAGATAGTGATGAGATTAAGTTGGGGATGTGGAATTGTAATTATAGTTGAGAATATAATGAAAATTAGCAGGGTTTTTCAATGAATATAGGTGCACATTTATAACCATACTAGATTTTGTCATATGTACTTATAATTTGTTTTGTTGTTTGTAGTTTAGAGGTGAAATTTGGTAGGTTGTTAGATTTGAAGGTTTCAATTTCAATAAAAGTGTCTAATTTGTCCATGAATGTTCTAATCATGAGATATTTTAGGTATGATGTTTCAAACAATTAGAGGTGTCCAAATGGAATTTATGATGAAAGAATAAAAGAAATGTTTGGTTTTGATTATAGGATTTGGTAAGGAGTGCTTGTTTCACACAATGAACTCCTTAAATAAAAGAAAAAAATAAAATTCCTTCAAAACCAACGATTTTAATTTATGGTGGAAACAAATCATAAAGATAGCCAAAGAAATAAAACCTGATTTTTGTTGGAAAATATGTGATTGTTAAAAAGTGCAAGTCACAATAGATCAATCAATTTACATTCTCACAAGGGTGATACTTCATTTATAACAAGACATAATATTACAGATTTGTAGGTTAAAGTTCATGATTTATGAAGAGAGGATGGCAACTGAAATGAAGATACCATTAACACCCCTTTTGACAATTAATCTATAAGATGTATACTACAAGTGAATATTTTCAAACAAATAAGACTAAATTAGTTGGTACGGAAACATTTAAAATCCATAAATATACTATCAAATCAGGGTAGTTTCTGAAACAAACTATTAGACATTATATGCCCTCAAAGTTCAACATTCATTGTAGACTATTTCATTGTGAATAATGTTTGATTTTCTAGTACAATTGCATATGTCAATTTGGTGTGCTTTTTGTGTAATGCGTTTGATCTGTATTTTAGGACTACATTATGAGACTTACATAATCAATATCTAGACAAAATATTCTATACCGGTAAATGAACTGGGGAAGTTCATTCTAACAACATTGACCATTTAGTTAGACCCAAAGTATAGGTGTGTCACAACTGCTACATTTAGGCACAAAGTATAGGTGTTGGTATTTATGAAGCATTAAATTGTACCATTTCTAAAGTGCTCATGAACTTTTTGATTGGGTTATTGCATGTAATCCTTAGACTTGGTAATGATACTTTGTCAGGTATGAAACTTGTTTGCTTTTGATATACAGACCAACAAGATTGTTCTAGGGTTCTATCTAGGTATGTGAAGTAAAAATATTACTTGGAAAAGTGATCATTGTGATAGGATTTGCCATTTTGTCAAACAAAGAGAATATCACTACACATATTTTTTTTGACGAAAGCTGAAAAAGTGTTATTAGTGGATTTCAAGTGTTTTGGAATTGGTTTTGCAAAATAAATATTATGCAAATAAACTGTCTTAAAAATATGTTTGAAAAATATTTTTCCTAGGTTCCATCATGGTAAAGGGTCTGAGGGAATAAATTCTTTCCCAATCCCATATATGATATTAATCGTAAAGAGATAGCATAAATGCAAATGTTTAGTTAAACTCCTTTATCTATTAGACATATTTTAATTAATTTGAACCAATGGGCTTGGGTATTTAGGGTGACAAAATTCAAGCATATTATATTAGACATTAATGGTCCAATATGAGGTGCAATTACTTGGGACAATTTCTTCTTAGGTAAGGAGGGAATACAACCTAGGTGGGTCCCACCTTCTTAGTATATTAGACAGAGTTCTAATATGATTAGAACTTAACTAGTTTGGCTAATCTATAGATAACTGAATTAAGAAAGCTACTAATCAATTGCCCTTTCTAAATTGGATTATGATCCTTTTAGGTAATTGGAATAGGACTCTAGGCTTTAAATACCTAGAAATTGACCAACTCAAGATCATTCTTACACACATACAAGTACTTTCAAAATTTGACCATCAAAGAGACAAACACTACTAGATTTAATCTAGGGTTTTTGGGTGTTCTTCTTCAACCTATTGAAACCAGTTTTAAATTAGATTAGGTTGACTAAAGACATAGATCAACATAGTACTTACATCTAAAAAACTAGACAAGGTTGTCACTCAAGTTGCTCTAGAAGACTTGGGAATCGAGCTTTAGAGGAATGGAGGGAATATAATGATTGATAGGATAAGAACTTTCTTACTAAATGTAACATCCTTGTTTGACTAGATAATTCCATCCAAAAATAGTATAAGAATGTCTCAACCCGTAAGGAGATATTGGAAAGAATAAAATCCATGTATAAATAGTAGAATCATTATGCCAGAAAAAAATGTCTTCAAAGTGTTGATGACCACATGCATGTTTGAGAGCCAACCGGTTTATGAGGATGTCATGAAGATGATAGACTTTATAGAACAAACCCCAACAAACCCCACCCATTTGGGGTTAGTTCTCTTAAGTTAGGTTCCCTTCCCAAGTATTCAGACTAACCTGACTATGGCCTAATCATCTTGGCCCCTACTATAGGAATCCAAACTGATAATATAGGTCAAGCCCAACAGCCGTGGATGCTGACTGCCATTCATGCATCTTTGGACATTAGACCATCCACCCGATGCCTAATGCAAGGGGCAACACTTACACCCCTTACTCAAAATGTGGTTGACCAAGGGTTAAGCCATCGACTAGCCTACTTTGAGGAAAATATGAATAAGTTACGGGGTAATAATTTTGACCTAACTAGCATTGATTGAACAAAAGGATAGATTACCCCTGGCTTTAAGTGGCCAAAGATAGACTAATATGATGGCACTGGTTACCCTAAGGCCTTTGTGAGAATGTATTTATAAACATTAAAGCCCATGGGCTTGACTGCTAAATTACTACTCCAGATGTTCCCTAGAAGTTTAACTAAACCAGCTGTAACTTGGTTAATGAACACATATCCTAATACAATTAATACTTGGTCAAATCTAGATAACGCCTTCATCACCCACTATTCATACAATACTGACATTCAATTGTTAAGACACAAAATAGACTTAGTCAAGTAAAGACTTGATGAATATTTCACTGAGTTTATAACCAAGTGGAGGGCTTTAGCCACTCAAATGTTAAAAAGGCCCAATGAAGAGGACCAGATTTGTATGGTCTTGAAGAGTTTGAATACGAAATATTCCGGTAAGCTGACACTAACCCATCACCCTTCCTTTCATGCCCTCGTCTATGTTGGTTTCCAAATTGAAGATTCACTAGCAACTGGAAATATAATCCCTTTAACATCCTCTCATTCAGTATGGCTTATGGCAAGAATTAATGAGCCCACTAAATATTTGAAAAGCCAACATTGTTAGGTAGAGCAGTTAGGTGGCGACTACTTTTATCAGAATTTGACATCACTTATGTGACATAGAAGTCTATCAAAGGATGCACTATAGCAGAACACTTAGTAGAGCATTCCTTACCAGACTATGAGCCATTAAAATCTGAATTCCTTGATGAAGATATCATTACCATAGAAGCAAAGTCAAACCTCCATACATAACCGTTAGAAGTTGTATTTTGATGGTACAAGAAATGAGGCAAGTAGAGCAATTAGAATTATACTAGTTTCTCCAAAGGACCCCAAGTTCCACTTGTGTTCAAATTGGGATTCCCTTGTAGCAACAATATGGTAGAGTATGAAGCATGCATTGCTGGGTTAAGAACAACTTTGACATTAGAGGCTAAGGAGATAGATGCCTATGGTGACTCCTTACTTATCATTAGTAGGCAAACCAGCAATGGAAAATGAAAAACTAAGAATGAGAGGCTGAAAGCATAGCATAATCACTTAAAAGACCTTGCCCATCAATTTAGGAGTATCTCATTCCAACATATGGCTTGGGAGCTTAATCAACTATCCAATGCCTTAGCCATGTTTGGATCATTGGTTGAAATGCTTGAAGGACACATCCATCCAATTATAGTTGAGAAAAAGGAGGCCCAACCTATTGTTACACCATTAGTAATACTGTTGTTGTTTTAGATGGAAAACCTTGATTCTATGACATCTAAAGATATTTGGAATACTGAGAATTCCCAGAAGGTGATTTGTACAAAGATAAAATAACTATCCAATAGTTGGCATATCAATATGCCAAGATGGAACCTATTTTCTTTTCTTGAAAGAGAAAGAAGCAAAGGAAATGATGAAATAAGTACACATGGGGGATTTTGGGCCTCACATGAATGGGTATATGCTAACAAAGAAGATACAACACATGGGATACTATTGGAGCACTAGGATTGAAGATTGTTGCAAATTTGTTAAAATATGCCATCAATGTCAAATCTATGGGAACCTAATCCATGCATCACCCGTTAAGTTACATAACTTAGTTTTATGGCTATTCTCTATTTAGGGTATGAATGTCATTGGTATAATCACACCTATAGCCTCCAATGGACATGAGTACATTTTGATAATAGTTGACTGTTTTACCTAGTGGGTTGAAGATGCATCTTATAAAAATGTCAATCAAAAGCATGTGGCCAAGTTCATCATGAACAACATC